TCAAGAAAATATATTCCTTTCATAATTGGCGCAATTTAAAAAGATTTCATTTTATTTTATGAGGCTAACACACTTGGCGCCTTTTTTTCCTTTTTTTTTAAAAAGGTAATTTTGTTGAGATTCCAGATAGACGCCATATCAAATTTTGGTATAAAACTGTGGTTTTATATTCTATTCCATCTTTGGAACCTAACTGCGTCAAAAAATTTTGTACTTAAATTAACTTTGAATGATGGTCAAATTTTGTCAAGGATGATCGGGCTAATCAATCTCAGCGGAGTTGATCTTAAAACTGTATTTCGGTAGTTTTACACCCGCGAAATCAACTGACATGCGCCAGCTGAAGTGTTGCATCACGTGCTTACGAATTGACAACGCGACGTCACCATGACAACATGCGAAGTGCGAACGCGCGGTAAACAATTCACGATTACCGCGCGACGCGGATCAAAGCGATCACGTGGCCCACCGCCACATGACGAACTGTCGCAAAACCATAAGATAGATTGATCATCACGCACAATCGGTATCGCGTCATCCCTTTTCATCCAAAACGTCTATCTCTTCGCCGAGAGCGATGTAAGTCGCTTCAGGCGATCGGTTGCAAAATCGAGGTTATTGAGGATGGAAATATAGAAATGAGAACGGAAATTGGCAATTATTACCTGTGATCAGGGTTGGGCAAGTAAAATACCCGGTGTAAATTACACAGTTTTATACACGTAAAATACTAGGTATTTTACGTCCTTAGTTTCTAATGATGTAAAATACATTAACCGCGCTGTGGTGTCTAGGTGTTCGCCTTCGAGGAACTAAGTGTCTAGGTGTTCGCCTTCGAGGAATTTGGTGTCTACGTGTTCGACGTCGAGGAAGTGAGTGTCTAGGTGTTCGCCGTCGAGGAAGTGGGTGTCTACGTGTTTGATTTCGAGGAAGTGAGTGTCTAGGTGTTTGCCATCGAGGAACTGAGTGTCTAGGTGTTCGCCGTCGAGGAACTGAGTGTCTAGGTGTTCGCCGTCGAGGAAATGGGTGTCTAGGTGTTTGTAAGATTGTTGTCGGCTACGGAGTGATTGGAGCAAAAGTTAAAGTTATGTGGCGCTGTCTATGGGACTTTTCTCGACGGGTATCTATATAGGTTTGTCCGCGTTGCTTGATATTTAATTGAAAAGAGAGAAAAAAAAGATGCTAAGTGCAAAAAGTGCAAGCAACATCGAGTGCTGCAATCTGTACGGTCGAGTAAATAAAGAAAACTATTCAGGTTAGGTTGGCTATCGCGTCGTATTTCGCCGCGCAGCAAGCGTTTTCGCGTTTAACTTGCAGTACAGTATTGAAGACAGTTGAAGAAAGAATAGATAGATCAACCGTTACCCCGGATCTACAATAGGTGTTTTAAACCTAAGAAATTAACTAATTACAATCGAATTCGATAAGTTACCGTTCAGATATCGATTTTCTTGCATTGTCATGTTTTAAATGAATTATATATAATTATCAAATCAAAACAATCTACCGATAACCGAAGAGGTGTCGAAAGAAATTATAGGATTCAGGGATAAAGCATTTTAATCTTTTACATGTCTATCATATAATTGTATTTAAAAATATATAATCTATCATATAATGTCATACATAATCTATCATTATACTTACAAATTGTACTTAAAAGTTATTTATACGACTATAAGTATATATAGAATTTTACTCATTTTATTATATGTAACGAAAATCAATTTGTTTTTGAGAAAAAAATAAAATTTTAAAAAATGAGTCTCAAAATGCATTATATATGGAGCACTATGTGTTAAGCCGAAATCACACTACAGACTCCCGATTCTGACTCCCGACTCAGAGTCGATCGAATAGAGTGATTTCTATTTTCGAGTCGGCAGTCAAGAGTCGGCTGCTGCCTTACTGTGATTGGTTGAATTATAGTCGGGAGTCCGAGTCAGTAGTCGAGTCAGAGTCGGGAGCCTGTAGTGTGATTACGGCTTTACACACAAAGAGTAGATTTATTAAAAAAATAAATTCGAAAAAAATTTCTTTTAACAAATATGTTGGATTCACACTGCATTCGATTTTCGTCGTACGATGACTCTGCTGCAACCAATCCGAAAAATCATATCATCGATACCAAGCAAAATTTTGTTTCCTGATTGGTTACAGAGTCGTCGTACGATGAAATTCGGATGCAGTGTGAATCCAGCATTAGGCTTATAAATTGGCTTTTCTTAAAAATATGCTTATCATTTATAAGGATCATTATTCAGGTTCCAAAACCATTTAATATACTGGCAACAGGGGCAGCATCTGCAACAAAAAAGCAAGAATATAATATTTATATATATATATTTGGACTATATCTACTAAAATTTCAACCTGATAAAAATATGAAATATGTTTCCACATTATTTATTTTAGAAAGTCAAGTTTGAAGAAAAGTAATTACTATATATTATTATTCTATTACACTAAAAAGTAATTTTAGATCATAATGAAAATTAACAGATTCATACATAAACACACAATAAACTAATTACTATACTTACATTTTTAGTAATTATTAATGACGATACTGGTCATTCCTCCTCGACCACCTCGACCGCGATACTTATTGTTGTAACGGTTGCGTCCTCCTCTTTTCCATCGTAATGCTGAAATAAAACGATTTATATAGCTTTTTGTGTACATGGTATGGATGCCAGATGACTGTTTCTTGTCTACGTCGATGGAAAAGGGATTTAGAGGCCTAATTTATTTTTTTTTTACTTACGTCTCGTCACTATATGGTTCATTTCAGATTCCACAGGTTCTGCTTTTGATGCTGTAGAGGACGGTGCCGGCAATGATTTGACAGATCCAGAAGATGGTGGTTTTGCCACAGATTCTCGTTCCAATGCTGTGATGGACGCGGACGGTGCCGGCGGTGGTCTGGAGGATCCCGAAGATCGTGGTTTCTCTGCAGGCTTTTCGACAGATTCAGAAGATGGTGGTTTTGCCACAGACTCTCCTTCCGATGCTGTGATGGACGCGGACGATGCCGGCGGTGGTCTGGGGGATCCCGAAGATCGTGGTTTCTCTGCAGGCTTTTCGACAGATTCAGAAGATGGTGGTTTTGCCACAGATTCTCCTTCCGATGCTGTGATGGACGCGGACGATGCCTGCGGTGGTCTGCAGGATCCCAAAGATCGTGGTTTCTTTGTTGCAGCAGCAATTTCTGCTTTCGAGGCTATTACAGCCAACTGCACATTTACATTTTCGTCATTCCTGTAAAAAAGAAAAATAGAAGAAAATATTAAGGGTACATATCCATCAATAACTTTCAAAATTTCGTTTTTATTGTTTTTGCATAATTTGATAGCCCTGGGTGTGTAGAATATTGTATTAAAAGCGTAAAGTGAAATTCGCAATAGATCAAAAGTTATGAGCCAATAAGTAGGTAGCGTCGACGCTAGTGCCGAGCGCGCTCCGAAGGTACATATGAAGCCGTCGAGCAAAGATTGGCTCGAAAAAATGAAAAACTGGCTTCCATCCGCCATTTTGAGGAAGTCGAGGGGATCGTCTATGGACCGGGAATAGCTGATTAGCTGTGAGTATTAATATTTATACGTTTATGTGTCCGAAAACATAACACTTTAAACGCGTTTTCCCGAAAATCACTTTTTTCGAGTCGCCGCAGGTGATAACTCGCGTAATTTTTAATGAATCTTTCTGAAATTTTGATGACATGCGTAAAACATGTTTGGCTACAGAGTAGACTACAATCATAATTATATATGCAATAGTTTTTTTTATATGAGCAAAAAACTAGCGAAAAAAATGCAATAAAATTGAATTTTTTTTCAAACCGCCGCCATTTTGTGAATTTTTATGCAAAAATTTTTTTCGTAGTCTACTCCGTGGAGACACTCATACTGATGAAGATCGTTTTTTATTTTTTTGTTTCAGACCTATTTTACGACCAGGAGGACCTGCTGCGCGGAATTTGATTTATGACAAGCAGCTCGCATTGGCCTGCATTAAGGCGGCATTTTTTAATATATATACTTGAAAAAATTTTTATAAGTAGCTAAAAGCGTAATAAAAACAGCCTGAAAACATTCAATGTTATATCTCATTTAGATTTTCTAAAAAAAATTCACAAAGATCACCCATTTTGACGGCCTACTGATGGATATGTACCCTTAACATTTGATGTAAAAAGAAATACTTTTCGATATATATATTATATATATTTACATATATGTACTTACATATCTTGCAACATAGCGTCCGCCACGGATGAGTTTTCGGTAACGGTTGATCTAGCTATTCTTCAACTGTCTTCATTGTAAGTTGAACGCGGAAACGTTTGCCGCGTGGCGAAATGCGACACGATAGCCAATACACTAAAGTTAAGACTCCATAGGCCTGTTCTGTTTGCCTGCACTGCTGAACTGGTACATACAGTGCAATAAGTTGAAATGAAACAAACGTATATATCTGTTTCACTTTAACTTATTGCAGTCTGTGCACCAGTTCAGTAAAAAGAACAGGCCTCATGTTAGCGTAAGGCGAGAAACACACACTTTTGCATAACGCATAAAACATGTACATAAGGAATTTCATTGGCCCATTTTCTTATGCATGAGTCAATGAACCAATGAAATTCTTTATGTATATGGTTTATGCGTTATGCAAAAGTCTGTGCTCCCCGCTTAACGCGGAGAGCAGAACCAATAACGAGCATTCCGTGTTTCTAGAGAAACTCGTGATTAGTTCTGCTCTCGTTCCGCGTTACGCTATTTCGCTGCATGGGTTTACACCCTTAGGGTGCAGTCCCATGGAGCGTATCGCGCGTATCGCGGATTAGCGGATCGCTAATCACAGAATCGTTCTGTTAGATTTGCTTACAAAATTTGTAAACAGATCTAACAGAACGATTCTGTGATTGGCGATCCGCTAATCCGCGATACGCGCGATACGCTCCATGGGACTGCACCCTTAGGCTGGAGTCACATTGAGCGGAAATTATAGCGGAAAGGAACAGTGAAACCAATCAGAACTCTACAATCATTCCGCTGCTTTACTTTCTGCGATTGTGATTGGTCTCGCTGTTCCGTTCCGCTGTAGATTTCCGCTCAATGTGACTCCTGCCTTAGGGTGCCTGTTTACAAATTTTCAAGCAAATCTAACAGAACGATTCTGTGATTGGCGATCCGCTAATCCGCTTACATACGAACCGCTCCATGGGACATAAGGACAATACTAATCGCGTACGTAAAACGGCGGAATGTTAGCCATTGGTCGGATTGTTCGATACGCGAATACGCACGTATGGTGATACGCGTCATGGGACGGCACCCTTAGGGCGGGTTCACACCTTGACGGAAAAACGGAAAACGGAAAAGCAGTAGCCAATCAGGTAGTCGACTTTCTGTTAGTTTTGTACTATTTACTACCAGCGCGAGTTTTGATCGGTTAACTGCTCTTCCGCTTTCCGCTTTTCCGTTAAGGTGTGAACCCGCCCTTAGCCCGATATTTCATGTGTCTGTCGACAAACTTTTCAAGCACGTTGATTTGCTATAGGACAGAGAGATCCGAGAATCTCTCTATTGTACAGTCATTAATCAGGCTTGAAAAGCCTTGTCGTACGACATATGAAATATCGGTCTTAAGCCCATTCTACATTGGTCGTATCGTAGGCGTCGCAGGTCACAATGTTGCAACAGCCAATCCGATGTGTCATTTAGAAGTCTCACGACGCTTACTATGCTACGATACGACCAATGTAGAATGGGCTTTATACTGGATTCACACTGCATCCGATTTTCGTCGTATGACGAATGACTGCAACCAATCAGAAAACAGGATTTTGCTTTTATTAAATATACTATATTTCTATGTCGATTTGTGTACAAAGGCATTATTAAAGTATACTGATTGTGAGTGCGCACTAACTCTGTCAGTGAAAAACGCTATCATTGGCCTACCGCTCGCCGCTCATCGCTTTGCTGCTCTGTAGGCCTATTCTGTAATGGGCCTTCTACAATAATAAGCCATTACTTAGGGATCTATTCAATAACTTTTAATGACTGCAACGATATCGTTACATTATCATTGCGCAGGCTTTGTATACCAAAACTAGCTGCGCAACGATAATTTAACGATATCGTTAGAGTTAGGGTGCCGTCCCATTAAGCACGGATCGGAATGACGGATCGGGTATCTCATTAGAATTGAGCATTCCGTTCCAGTTCCGTTCCGTGACAGTTTTCTCTACCCGTCCCATTCAGCAAAAACGGAAAGGAATCTAGTTACAAAATATATTTTACCGTTACAATTCAATATTTTAGAGAACTCACAACAATATTATCAGCAAGATAATTGCACAAATTATATGTATATTATTGCTTCAACTGCTCAAAATAACGAAATATCGATGAATCAAGCATGTTTACCAACGATCGACGCGACATTCCGTTCCGTTTTTGCTAAATGGGACAGGTAGAGAAAACTGTCACGGAACGGAACTGGAACGGAATGCTCAATTCTAGTGAGATACCTGATCCGTCATTCCGATCCGTGCTTAATGGGACGGCACCCTTATGGCCTTCTACAATAAGCCGTAAGTCACAAATCATAAGTCATAAGCTAAAAATGGACCAATCACAGTCGTCAATTTTTAGTTTCTTACTTCCGATTTATGACTTATGACTTATTGTAGAAGGCCCATTACAGAATAGGTCCCTTAAGTTTTAAATGTTAAATCATAAGAAATTTACCAATCACAATCGAATATGAGAAGAATAATCGACTGTGAGTGGTCAATTTCTTATAACTTAATAGCAGGGAGCACAGACTTTTGCATAACGCATAAACCATATACATAAAGAATTTGATTGGTCTATTGACTCATGCATAAGAAAATGGGTCAATGAAATTCCTTATGCACATGCTTAAAGCGTTATGCAAAAGTGTGTGTTGGGGCTCTGAGAAACACACACATTTACATAAAGCATAAACCATAGAGACCATAGTATAACAGAGATTCGCAAAGTGTCACGTGATCGATATATTTCTCTAATTGGCTGTAGTAATTCATAGTAGCTGCCATATTGAATTTACTATCAATTTACTTAACATCGACTCCTGTCGGTTGCTGTGGAATGAGATTAGTAAACTCATCCTTCAATATTTTGTGAATTTTTACCTATTATTTCACGCTTTGCATTAAATATTGCAAAAGATATGCAATAATAGGTAAAAATTCACAAAACATTGAAGGATGAATTAACTAACCTCATTCCACACATATATGTAATACTACTATATGGCTAGTGCCTATAAGAGGGAGTGAGAGGAAGCGGTTCCAGAACCACGGTGCGGGTATATATATTTCCCTCTCTTTCTAAGATTACTTTGAGTGTTGTGCGCATGCGTTGGATTGATCGGATCCGCCAATAGGAAAATAGAGTGCGATCAGTGAGATGACGTGACAGGTTATGCTCGTTATGCTTATTAGATGTGTGCTGTACACAGGCAAAATGGTCAAGATATGTTATTTATGTGGCAAAAAACCTAATGCGACTGAAAACATTAGTTTGCACAGGTATGAAATAGGTATTAGTTTGCACTGATTATCATGAAATTTCTGTAAGGGATTGCACTGTATTCTTATATACATAACAGCAATTTTGAAAAAGTTTATTTCATAAAATTAGGATTAATTTATTTATTCCGACAAAACTGACTCTGTTAACTGTAACAAGGTTATATCCTGAAGCGGAATCAATCACTTTTTCCTTCTTCCTTACAATATGTATATTTATTCTTCTATTTATCATTGATGGAGGGGATGAATCCGACACATGCGCACAACGTTCAAAGTACACTGAGAAAGAGAGAGAAGTATATTCCCGCACCGTGGTTCTGGGACATGAACTTCTCTCTCATCTAGCCATATAGTAGTATTACATATATGATTCCACAGCAGTCGACAGGAGTCAATGTTGAGTAAATTGATAGTAAATTTAATATGGCAGCTACTACGAATTACTCCAGCCAATTAGAGAAATATATCGATCACGTGACACTTTGCGAATCTCTGTTATACTATAGGGTCTCTAATAAACCATATATATAAAGAATTTGATTGATTCATTGACTCATGCATAAGAAAATGGGCCTGTACGCGCTATGCACGTTTTCATTTTTGTATTTTCGCTCGCTTTGCTACGCTCCCTCCTTCTGAAAAGAGCGCTACCTGCGTTCCCCTTCTCCTCAGCGTTCGCTCATCAGCGCTCGTTTCTGCGTTCGTTTGCGTTCGTTCGTTTCCGTATCTGTTCGTGCGCCACTTCCGTTTTCTTCTTCCTAGTTCGTTTTCGTTCAAGCATGCAGCAGCATGATTTTTCTTTTATGCTTATTCATAATCGTTTAAGTTTCGTCAAGATCACAGCACACAGTGCATTTTTGTTGTAAGCTAACCAAATATAGCAAGATCAATCAATTTTACGTGTTGTTTATTTGTCAACACTGGTCCTTCGAGCATCGTTACAAGTTGCACCAAGCATAACCAATTAGTACGTGAGCCACAAGGCGATCCAAGGAGAACTTAGCACTACACATAGTGCAAGGAGGCACAAGCCTATTCACTTGGTTCTTCGAGTATTATACATTTGCAAACATAACCATTTATTACGTGGGCCACAAGGCCCTCTAGGAAAAAATAGCGCTACACATAGTGCAAAGGGGCACATGCCCGGACATTTATTGTTGGTTCGCGCATACCTGTTTGAGCACTGACTCAGACCACCGCGTATACCGCGCTCGACAAACATGATCATGTCAATGTCTGTGAGCAATTCAAATTTTACACCTGTATGCTTCAACATGGCATCCCATGTGAGCCGGGTAAGGTGTAATAGTATGCGGGGTCGAGCCCGTAACTCGCTACGCAACTGTCGCGGTCAAAGACGTCGGCCAACAAGAATACATCTGTTTTTAGATACAAGTCGCTATATTCACCGAGCGTTTGGATGGAGAACCGCTGCCATACATTGACGCCATGCGCGTAATCGCTCTCGGATACCGTGTCATCTGTCAATGAACTGTAAAATGACTCGCGAGGCGGCAAGCACGATTCATTCAATTTTTCACTGCAATCAATATACTCGTACGGAAAGACACCCTTTCGTGTTAAAAGATTGAAATTTTCTTGTGATAAATGAGAAAATTTGCGGCGCAGTACCCGCAGCTTATCTTTATTGAGAAAAGATGCTAATTTGTCTAAACTTGAGGCGAGAAATCTGTATGAATCTATGAAACGTAATGTCACACAAATATTTTTTTCGTCATTTTCATCTTTAGTGTCGTCGACGTGTTTAGTAAGAGAGATATATTTTTCTTTAGTTATTGGTAATAAATCTATATTCCCGTCGTACGCGGTTGCAATCATGGTCGAAGTAACAAGGTCTGCTCGTATCCATAACCAATATTCGTCCGGTTCTGCGCAGGACTGAATTCCGCCATTTTGCATCACACAACGTAACGCATGAGTGTGTGCATGGTGTGTACATACAGTTGTATTGTATTTTCTAAATTGTAAAAGACTGCGACTCGCAGAGATACTCCGAAATGCCATCGTGTGCAATAAAGAATTGTAAAAATACATCCACGAAGAAACGAAAATTGAGTTTCTTTTCTTTTCCGAAAGCTCCGGAAATGATTGAAAAATGGAGAGCTGTATGCAAAGAAAATGTGAACCCTAAAAATGGTGAGTATATTTTCCTATTTTCATTTTATGTAGTGCAAGAAGAGTGTATTTATTCAGTAATTGTGTTTTTGTTAATTCAGGTCGTGTATGTTCGGAACACTTTCATTCTTCCCAATACGAAGATCGCAATTGGCTAAAAGATCTTGTCGGAGTAAATGGAAACGTCCGAATCAGATTAAAATCGGATGCAGTTCCGGAAATTACGAACGATAATACAGGTACATAAAATGTTGATTGTAAAAATTAAAGAAAAAGATAAAAACTGACACGTTGGAATTTCAGAAATAGAAATAGATACAATCGCCAGTGATACATTCGCCAGTGATACAATCGCCCCATCATTAAGCTGCACGCAAGAAAATTTATCGAGTGTTGCGAGTGGTGTATCAAACCCTGTCACAGCTATAAACTCTGGTACCTATTACAGTTCTGCCATACTTCGCAAAAAAGTCATTTCTCCAATTTTTACGAAAATTGAAATAAAATATTATTAGCATAGTATGCATTAAAAAAATAAAAAATAAAAATAATTGTATTTTCATGGCACGTTTCATATTATTAATATATGTGTGTACATTTCGTCGTTTCAGAGGACACTTGTAAAAAGACGTCAACCAATCAAGACCATGACAAGGAAATTCAGACAATGAAGGAAAAAAATGCAGAATTGCTGAAGGAAGTGCAATCCCTCAAACGTCAATTAGCTTTAAGAGACAAACGCCATAAAAAAGAACTTGAACAACGGCTAACACTGCAGAGTAAATTACATAAGAAAAAATTGGAACAGAAATTTCGAGAAATGTTAACTCCATTCTTTACACCCGGACAAATACAACTGATTTTGCATCCAACACAGAGCAGGACCCGATGGTCTTCTGAAGACATCGCATCTGCGATTTCCTTAAAGAGCGTTAGTCCTGGTTTGACGTTTTTAATAGTACATGCAAATATGGACATCATGCGGGATTGAATGGTTATGGAGTTGACATTGACAAACAAAATGAGATCCTTTCTAAAGTAAAACCGACAATGCAAACTATGACGGTCGGAGAACGAAAAATAATGCTTCCTTTTCAAAAAGGATTCATTCTAAGCACTTGCTCATTACAACGTCTTTATTCGGATTTATTAGAAATATTTCATACGCCAGATTTCGTAATGTCATATATTACAACAAATCGATTAAATCAAGACGTGTTAGAAAATATGTTTTCATACTTCCGAGCAATGGGCGCTGCGAATGACAGACCAACCGCGCTGGATATTAGATATAGACTCTGCTGGTATATTTTAGGAAAGTATTCTGTAGACACCTTCACGGAAAAGAGCAACACTTCTGTACATGATATTTCAATCAAAGAAACTTGCCTGACTAGCAACGTTGATGACGACATGGTGGACAAGGCACCAAGTAATGCTGAAAGAGACAATGAAGATACTGAATATATAATTGCTAACATCGCTGACTTCCAGAACGACTATGACGATTGCGATTTTGAGGAATGTGTTGATGGTGGTATATTTCATTTGTTCTAAAATGTTTTAAAAATAGTATATATTTTAAAAAATTTTTTTTAATTTTATCGAACTGTATTCTGCAGTGATTCATTCAAAAATCATGAGTTAATAGTGATTTAGGCTGCGTTCGGAAACATCACCCGAGTGCCCCAGTGTATCGTCTTATCCTCGTTTAACATGGGTGAACAACAAGGATAAGACGATCATATACGGGGGTAAAATTGTTCTCTGCTTACTGTACTGCATCAAAATAAATATTTTAATAAAAAGTTGTCAATAATATCTTTGCTATGTTGCATTTTTATTTACAGACTACTTGACATCCACTTCCACTTCTTCCTATATTCCTTCCTCCGAAGAACTAACTCTCTTAAAAGAACTTGAAGAATTAGATACCATTGATGTTATACAGCAAGAAGGGCTTAAATATATCGCTGGTTATGTTGCTCATAGGTTCAATCATCTTTATGACGATTTGGGGACACATACGGAAATGTCCATTAATTCTAAAAATGATTGGATTCATAAAATTTCGAAAGGACGGTTAATAACTCCTTCTGATAAATTATTGAAAATTGCAGAAGTCATGAATAAGGAATTTGAAGCTTTTCATACATCTTCAAACACTATTAGTAAAGTTCCCGGAATTTTTCAAAAAGTTGCAGATAAAACTGAACAAGCAATGAAAAAGATGGACATGCAAATTATTCCGCGAAAAGTCTTACTTTGTTTGGTACGCACGCGCACTTACATACGAATAAGGCAAATAAATAAACAAATTAATTTGCAGAATCAACGTTCAAAGCATAATAAAAAAATTTCTAAATTTACAAATCGTAAAATTAATAAACAATAATTAACTATTATTTTTATTATTAAGTATTATTATTATTAATTATTATTATTAATTATGTTATTATATTATTATATTATATGTTATTATTAATTAATATTTATTTTAGTATTTTACGTGTTGTTGTGTATTTTACATGTTGTTGTTGTTATTAATTATGTTATTATATTATGATATTATATGTTATTATTAATTAATATTTCATATCAGTGTACTTAGTACATTTTATAATTTCTATCTTAGTATTTTATTTAACATCTGTTTATTGTTATTTCTTTCTACACACAAAATCATTTTTAAATATATTTCACATATGCCGCGCAAAATGGCGGATTCAGTCTTGCTTGCTACTGGCTAGATATAAAGGCTGCGCAATAGCAGACCTTGTTACTTCGACCATGGTTGCAATTTCTTTGATGATAAAATGTGCGTCGTAGCCTGATAAATTATGAAAGACTACGGGTATGCATCGCGAATCCTTATAATTTAAATGACAATTTGAGTGCGCTGGACCGCGGTATCGCCCGGTGAGATGGCAGTGATCGCGTGCCCGCGTATCATTCGGTGCGAATGGTTTCTCGCAGATATGGCAGTATGTGGCGCTATTAAATTTTTGCCAATCATCTAGCGTGAAATCCATGGGAACATTGGTCGAAATTACAGATTTCACACTATGTGCTAAATTTTTTAATTCGCCCGCGAACCATGATATGCAGTTATTATCACGGCGAAAACGATAGTCTGATAGTGAATTATCATAAGAGCAGTACACGTAATACCCGATACTGAAGACGTTGTGATGTTGATATGTGTACGTGGATCCTTATCCGTTTTCTCCATTGTGCATTCCAAATCGGCGTAGACTACAAACGGAACGCGCTCCTTTCTGCAATAGTTCTTGAACTCGAGCCACTTGTCGTCCTCGCTCGGTAGCTTTATTGGCGCTCGAGCTAAAGTAGTGCAAGCATCTGGAAAAAATAAATAAATTATTACAATTATTACTGTTATTACTGTTATTAATATTATCATTATTATTATTATTTATTATTATTAATTACACATACCTATCGCAGAAATATTTTCTGTTCTTCTTTTTACTTATTTGTGATCTCACGAGGCGTGATAGGTTCTTGATCATCGCGAAATGTCCCTCGATGTCATCCTGCACGTACAGGAGGTTCACGTGCTTATTTCTCTTTCGGTCGGCGAGTCGTATCGGCACAATCCCATTCTCGATGGCGTAGACGTTGACGGATATGTCATTTAGAGCTTCAAATTTTTTAATTTGACACAATGTCATCGGGTACTCAATACCCGATGACAATAATGAGATTTAGTACCGATAAGTAGTGCGGATATGATGATGTTCGATATGTATGACTTTCAGCGGGATGTAGAGCTGCAACCATCGACCATGCGAAACAAGCAGTGTCTTTGGATTGCACGTTGACCACCGCTCTCTTTAACATAATTTCTCGCGGGAGTTTGATGTGACATCCCGCGCGCAGAGGATTCAGTTTATTCGCGTTAACATTCATGTTCAATATATGTGACAATGCTCATCCGCTATCACATTCTTGAAACTCTTCGAGCAATGCTAGGATTGGCTCGATGACGCGCGACACGTACCACTCGCGCTGATCGGTGCATCGATATAGTTCAAAGTTCCTGATTGCGATACTCTTGTTCGCGCGTTTGTCACCCGCCACGAATTCGCCGTTAAACACAGTATTTATCTTTATAGAGTC